AAAAAAAAGGAAAAAAAGAGAAAATTATCAGTACCTCCTTCGCCTGGTCGTACTGCTGCTGGCGGATTTTGTACCGCACATAGTCGAACTCGGACATGTTAATCTCTCCCTTTTGTTCAAGGTCCAACATTGCAAGAGATTTTTCTAAAAATAAAATAGAAATGTTAAAATATTTTCAAGTCGTAAAAGTATTCGAACGGGCAAGTCACAATTAAGGTTCCACCTTGAGGGTAGTTCCGGTATAGGCCGCAGGCCGACATGAATACCGGGCTCCTAAGCCAGTAGGTCAATGGGATCCAAATGGACGGCACAGTCACAAACTTCCCATTCTTGACCACCTTTCTAACCTTAAAATATTCAAGTTGAAAAGCGTGGTCAGGGTGGACAGGCGGCTTAGTGGGTTTGTGCATCCCACGTCCGAGCTGGATAGGCTCAGCGTTAAAGCGATTCATCTGCATGTTGAATTCTTCGTTATCAGTTCTGATGCGGTAGAATCGGTGCTTCCTATCGCGTCACTTGGACGGCTTGTGCAGAACCACCAGATACTCTTTCTAGGTGCTCAGAATAAACCAGCCGAACCATCGATTGCATCTCACAAAAAACTGGGAAGTCCGGATTGAAGCCTTGCTGAAGGCACGTCACCAGATAGCCAAAAATGTTTACCCAGCCATTCGGCACCAGCTGGAAAATTGCAATGTTGTATTCGTCCAGCAGAGCCTTGACGAATGGATGTAAGGGGAAGCGAAGGCCCACTTCCAAGGCGGCACAATAAATGCTGAAGCATTTAGTCGGATGCCTCCTACCTTCCCGGGCGGCCACCGAGTATGAGCGACTTAGCGCCACGATCTGGTAACCTTCTCCAAGCTAGAGGATAGTTCTATGAACTCTTCAAATTTATGGTGTAAGAAGCCAAGGGCAACGTCGCCGACTGTACAGGCGTATGGGTCCTTGAAATTTTCGACGTTGGCTTCTTTAGCCGCCTGACTAGCGTCCGGATTCTCATCTTCCTGTTCGGCGACCTGGAGTTTAGGGGCCTTGGCCGAGCCGAACTCAGAGGACAACCTGTGTCCAAGGCTGCAGCCTCGGCCGAGCTCTCTCCCAAGGAGCCCTGGCCGGCTTTAGTAACAACGATGCCCTCAGGCACCAAGGTTCTTTAACCCTTATCTTTCTTCCCCCTAACATCCGTTTGGTTTCCCGAAGGAGAATCGCTGCGTGGGGGCAGGTTGGACGGCTTAGAGATATTAATTCCTGTTCTAAGCCTGGCCGACCTGGTAGTTTGGATTGAGGGTTGTTGGGGAGTTTGGTCGGACGATCCCCCTTAGCGTCCACCTGATTTGTCGAATGATGCCTTTTAGAAGATGACAACTCGGACGGCATCAGGACCGAGCTGGTATATTGGGAGAGGCGTTGTACCAGATTTTGACCGGACGCTTCCCTAGAAGAGGTTTGAGAAGAAGTGCCTTGCTAAGGTTGCCGCTCAGAAAGAGGCGGTCACCTCCACCACAGAACATGCACTACCACTAATTGTGGCGCCCTTACTTTCCCTGTTCGTGTTACTTGGGTCAAAAGGGACTAAGGGATCCACCAAACTTCCGTCCGCATTTGTTAGGGGCACCCCGCTCGTACGTTTGTCTTGTACGTGCCATGCTCGACTACAAGGACAGAGAAAAATAGGTGGGGAGTGAGTTCGTACGCACTGAAAATGGACCCACTCCAAAGAGAGGAGGAGTCATCTCCGTCCACTCTAGACTCCTCAGTCCCAGGCGAACGGCCGACCTCATGTGGAGAAACGGATGAAGCCGAGTATTGTGCTAGTTCGTGTTTAAAAAATAAAACAAGTATGAAAAAAAGGAAAAGGTAAGAAAAGCATACGGTTACCTCTGTACGAGTAGAAAACTTTGGAAGTCTTTGAAGATCTTGAAGGTTGACCAGAAAACTCAACAAACTCGAACGGAAAGTTCTAAGACACGGCGGAGCTCTTGATGATGTGAGGGAAAAACACTTTCTCTCTCTAAAAAGCTCTGACCTCTCTCTAAAATTCGCAAAATTCCAAAGTGACAAAATGAAGTCAAACAAGTCCTATTTATAGGCAAATTTATAAGGGCAAAATGGTAAAACCGCTTTTCCCTCCTTGAGGCTTAAACGGTTATTTTTTGAAAAAATAAATCTAGAAGGCCAAACGGTTAATTTAACCTTGGCAATATATATGGGAAAGATGTAATGTTGCCCAAACGGCGCGTCAAAATAGACAGTCGGCCAGGTCAGCAACTTCAAGCTACTGGCCCGAGAAAAACGGAACAGGTGTCCCACCTGATACCAGGCGGCACCATCCGTCCGACTGATTTCAAGACTTAAGTCCACTAGTGAAATCAGGTGGACCGACTAAAGCATTTAGCCCTAAGGGATAATCCCATGATCAGACGGACGGTACACTCCGCCACTTTTTAATAACAATGCTCCATCAACCCGATACTCGAACGACCCTGGACGAGTGAAGATCAGAGGAGGCGGCCCGTATGGTACGAGCCACCCCCTCTAAGGGGCAAATGTTTAGGGTTAAAATACCTCTGATACGTGGTCCGATCCTATAGAGACACATGGACCAATAACAAGGCAACATGTGTCCCAATAGGATGATGACACGTGGCAAACAAGAGAGCACCTGAATGAGAGAAAGACCTCCTAATGTAAGAAGACCCAAATCCCGAGAAAGGCGCTATAACGGCGCTCCCAAAGGACACTTGTCCTTATCTGATTGCGCCGCCAATAAGAGCACACCATTCTAGGTCACCAAACCCTAGATGGCACACACTCCCACCCCTTTAAATACCCCAATCATTTATGATGGGAGGGGTGGGTTGAGACATATCATTCAAAAGTATTAAATTGCTCCAACTTCTCTCTACTTTCTCTCTCTCAAATTACTTCGTTTTTCGATCACCAACTTGATCAACTTCAAATTGAATATTCATTGTTTGCAGGTGTCCGCGACCATCCGGCTATATTCAAGACCTGTATTCCAAGGGATTAAAAAAAACCCCGAAACAGAAACTATGTTTTCTTTTTTTTTTTTTTTTTTTTTTTTGAAAGTCTAAAAAAGTTACTATGTTAAAACAAAAGTTATTATGTTAAAATAAAAACCAATGTGTTACAATAAAGGTCATAAGATATTAATAAATTTTATAATCAGAATTTTAATATACAAGTCAATATAAATAATAAAGGTTAATATATTAAAATTATAATCACTATTTTAATGCTTCCATTGTTCCACAAATATTGTAATAAGGATGAATTTACGCATCCCAAAGCACATTTTATATATAAGAGTAAAAATTATAAAGATTTGATATTGTGAAAGTATTTTACGAGGCGAATCTAACAAGACCCTACATGACTATATTTTACTTTAAGTATAAATTATAATACGTGGTCAAACAATTGTGATGAATAGTGTAAAAGTCCAGTTGTTGCAATATTATTAGAACAGATGAAATATAATGTAAGCCGACACGTGTAAAACTCCGGTTTACAATGATATTAAAGATCACAAAAATTTTAATAAAGGCCATTATGTTAAAATTATGATCACTATGTCAAAATTACGGTCACTGTGCAACACAACATCGGTTGCATGCGTATGAACCTTAGGTCCACAATAACATTATTGTGAACCAGATTCACACAAGTTTTTTCCCTATGGGTTTCAATTACAAATGGATAGTTAGTTAAATAATCACATGAAAATTAATCCCAAAAATAGAAATAGCGCCCTTGTTTATTCAGACCATTTATCAAACACTGGGGTGCAATAAAAAAAATGCAAACCAAATATTTCTCTAGCAATGGTTGATGCCGTCAAACAATGGTTGAGAGGAGAGAGAAAAGTTTGATGTCGGTGGTAGTGGGAGGTGTTTCCCTACCTTTTAAAAAGTATGAGAGAACTCTTGTAAATAGTGTGAGGACATATATACTCCTTAAAATAGTTGAATACATACTTACCCCTATTTATAAGTTTAAGAAACTCAACTCCCTTTTTTTTAAACATAAAAATATTTGTTTACATATTTACCCCCATTTATAAGTTTAAGAAGTTTTTTTCCCTTATTATTAATACATTTATATAATAAGTACTCCTAGGTAGTAGTATATCAGCCTTCAAAAAATAAATAAATAAATAATAAAAAAATAGTATATCAAACATTTACATTTTTAAATCTGAACATTTATCTTTCAAAAAATTTCCTTTCGAAATTTTGATAATTTTTGCCACTTCCTCACTAAATCTAAATCAACTCTACTTAAGTTTCGAAGAATATTGCACGGTTACAACATCTAACACATTTATCTTCTATATGCAAATAACTATAATAAAATACTATGCAGATTCATTAGAGCCAATTGTAAAAACTCTTTTCAAAGATTATAAATCCTTAGTTTTTATTAAAAATATTAGACTCAGTTATCATTATAAATCATATTAGTGTTATACTTTTTTTTGTTTTGGGTAAGGAGAAGGGCCCTATCGGGCCGAAACCTCTCACAGATCCACCCTGCCCGAGTTAGCGGGCTAGGCACTTTAGGAAGGGGCGGAAAAAGGATAAAAGAATCCTCATCCCAAAGTGCCTCTAGAAAGGTTTGATCCCACAATCTCATGGGGGTGAGATACAAACCTTACTACTAGACCAAGCTATGCTTGGTATATTACTGCTATACTTGGGTGTGACATCATCCGGCTTATGGGTATTGATTGTGGGTCTGTCCTACGACACTGCTTGTGTTAGCCGGCAGCTAAGTTTAATTTGTTTGTTGAATGAGCTACAGCCCTTACCTGCGACACAAATGCTCTGAAACTTCGGTGTTCCTCCACTTTAATGCTCCCACTTGGGTCACAAGCCTGCGTTACCAAGCTCGGCATACTACTGCTATACTTTTTTTTTTTTTTTTAAACCTATTACTGCTATACTTTGTTATTAATAATAAAGAGTACAAAGTTAGTGAAAATTAAAAAATAAAATAAAATAAAATAAAAATAAAAAAAATAGGTACTAATAGTCCATACATCCATAAATCTCTAAAAATCCACCAGAATAATCTTATATACAAGACATTTTATTCTGCTAATACCACCAGATTTGTACTTCAAACCCATCAAGACTACTACATTACACTGAAAACACAGAACAATTTAGTTCAGTTCTTGATAGAGAGTACAGCTGAGAAAAGAATATACAGTTGTGACTATCAAACGACTCCAGGAAAATTATGCCCTGATTTTATCGACAGATTACCGATACAAATGATTTTGAATCATATTCTTCAGGCTGAAACTTTAGAAAATCGACCACCTACACATGCAATAGACGATCAAATTAGTGTTCTAGCGTCACATACATGCACATACATATGGAATGAATACTATGGGAACCAGGGGGGGGGAAGGGGATTTCGGGGGAGACAGAACATAGGGAGTTCGACAGGAAAGCAAAATAGTTTGTCATTGAACTACTTTTTTAGTGTACGAGCAAAAGCAATATGAATGGAAACTACTCGTAGTAAAATCTACGAAATGTTATGAATTTTATTAACACTTCAGATTGCAAAATTTGGTTTTCAATTTAAAGGACATAAGAGCATTGTCAAAAAACGGTGCTTTGCTTTTCAGATCTTTTTACTATATGGCGATAAAAGAAAGGAATACCAGAGAGAAAAAACAAGCCTTGCTTATTTTCTAATGGGAAGACAAAGATGACATTTTTATCAATTAAGAATTTCCGGAAGTGTTGGCAAAAGTGCCACAAAGGAATAAATGTGCGAGGGAAGAGAGGCACTTCAGAGCTCACCTGTTTCAATCAATAAATGTCTCAGGCAAAAGTCCATATTCAGTAGACTCAATGGAAGCTGTTGAATCATCAACTACAGCTTTATCATACACACAATCTGGTCTCTTGTGGCTACCCTCAAATACACGCACTTGCAACAACCTCTCATCCAGAAGTTCAAAGACACATATATCCCCAACTTTCACATCATTCATACGTGCAAATGACATCCAGCCTCCACAGAACTTTGTCGAGTTTCCATAATGAGCTGAAACAACATTCCAAGAGTCCCCTTTCAAATTACGGAGCACTAACTCAGCCTTGTAACTCGGAAGATGTGCAGCTGCAAACTTACTCGGGACATTCTGTTAAAAAATATAAATCAGATTACAAAAAACCTTAAATCCTAAGGAAATAAAAAACAGAAATTAAAATGCATTAAGATATATAATTAGATTTTATCATGTCCTCATTCCTTTTGATATAAGCCCCAAAAAAAAAAAAAAAAAAAAAAAAAAAAAACAGACGAAGTGTTGAGGCAGCCAATGTAAAAATGGTGAAACAAGAAGCTAGAATTATTTGTAAACACAGCATATTGAGACACTACAAGCGATTTTGTTACAAAAATTAGCCTTGTCTTTTTCTTTTTTTCCCCCCAATACCAGTTAGCAACAAGGAAGACTTAAATCAAAACTCAGTGTGATGAATCATATAAGTTGACCTAACTCAAAGGTCCCTTGGTTTTTCTAGAGAAAGCGGCAGTAAAGTTAAACCACCACCAAAAACTTAAGCCCAGAAAATCATAAAGTAGCTAGTCACTGACCCACCATTTCCTCTCCCAGCCGAAGTTAACTAGATCAAAGCTAACTACTAGTCAAACTTGCTGTTTGAAGGATAGGAATATCCAAGTAGAATTTCCATCAAACTCTAGAATCCCCTTTAATTTTTTTTTTTTTTTTAAATTACTTTTCACACTTCATTTTTGCTGTCACAGTTGATGGATTATTTCCTCTTTCATCAGTTTCCTAACCCGAGTTACCGAGTACCTATCCGTTAGTCGGCTTCTCTGGAAATCTTTGCTACCTCAGATAGCGTTGCTGGAGATCTCCTTTCACTATTTGGTGTGGGCTGCCTACATTTTGATCACCCTTTAGAATGACAAGATATCTCCACTCTTAACTGATTCCAGCAGACAGCTGCCTCTGCTCAGCAACTCTCTTTACAGACAGCTTGGGGTGTTTGGTGTAGCCTTAGAGTCCTTGCCCTGCTACGAGTTTCTCCTATTGTGGCTACTGTCTTGAGAAAGCTTCTATTGGAAATTGATAATCGGGTGATCTTAGTGTCAGGATTTACAGTTCTGCTGAGTATCAGGAGTGAGTCGATGCTGGTCAGAAATGGCATTCTGGGGACCATAGGAAGGCAAAATTGATTGAAAGAGAGATTGCAGACATGAATTACAAGGATTTCTTAGTCTCAAGAGGTATTACAGAATATTCTTTGAGGGTTAAGCAAGCAAAACCCTCCCACTCACAGAACAGTTAATAAAAGACAATTTTGGTTGGACTAGAAGCAACTTCAGCATTTGCAGCTTTAAAACACGTTTTGATGACATCCGCTATCCTAGTCATTTTGCTAAAACTTTTACTTAAGAAGATGATGATTCTGGTAACAGAGTGGGACCTATGCTGCTACAAGGCAGTCACCCAATTGCTTACTTTAGCAAGCTACTGGGAGCGAGGGCTAGAGTGAAATCAATTTATGAGGAGTTCAAGGCTATAATGCTTGTGGTTCAGAGATGGAAGCAATACTTGATGGAAAGGAAGTTCGTAATCTAGACAAATCACCGGAGCTGCCTGATGAAGTAAAGGGAAATAGGGACTGAGTACCAAAGATGGGTGAGTAAATTGATGGGTTTTGAGTTTGAGATTTATTATAAGACAGGTAACTTTAATAGAGAATAGAATAGCAGATGCTTTGTCGAGGGAGTTGTTGGGTGAAGTGGAGCATTGAATGATGATTCCCTCTCATGATATTGGTTGGATAGACATAAAATATCAGGTGCAACAGGGCCCTTTTATCAAGAGGCTGACTGACGATCTCCGAAATGGGAGAATAACACCAAGGGATACACACTTGATCAGAACATATTAAAGTACAAACGGAGAATTGTTGTACCCAAGCAATCCTCAGTATTGACATTGTTACATGAGTACTATGACACACCCATTGGCGGTCAACTGGTCAATCTGGTGAGTTCAAGGACCTACCAAAGGATTGCATCAAACTGTTTCTGGGTTGGCATGAGAAAGACCAAACCAAAGAAAGGACATTCAAGCCTGGTTGGTTTACTCTATTCCCCTCCCCCCTGCTGGTAGTGGTGTACAGGCTCTCTATATATGCAAACCATTCAGGGTTCAAACAAACATTTATAGCTCCAAACAATAGTTGTTGCATTCCTTCAGGAAGTAATAAGGCTACATGGCTTCCCTCTTCCATTGTTTTAGATCGAGACAGAATTTTCTTGAGTATCTTTTGGAAAGAGCTCTTCAAGCTACAGGGCACTGAATTCAGCAGGAGTACTTCTTATCATCCCAGTCGGATGAGCATATATATAGAGGTAGGTAATAAGACCCTGGAAACCTGCCTTAGATGCTTCATTGAAAAGTTCTTGGATTAGATGGTTACCTTGGGCTTAGTATTGATCCAATACCTCTACTCTTGCTTCCACAAAAATGACACCATTTCAAGTTGTCTATGGAGCGAACAAGTGGACCACCAAGGCTGCTAAGATATTAGCAAGACAACACTGCAGTCTCTTCCTTAGAGGAACAGCTACTAGATAGAGACACTATATTGGATGCATCAGAAGGAAGTATAATTTGGACATGGTTCATTTGGGAACCGTTTGGTTTGATGTAAAATATTCTCAATGAAAATTAGTTTTCATGGAAAACATATTTTTAAGGAAAACCACACTAGCAAGATAGTTTTCCTGATTTTGGTTCTTATAAGAAAAGTTAAAAGAGAAATTTAAAATAGGAGTGGAAATGTGGGGATGGATGAGTGGAAAGTAAAAAGGAGATAAGGAGAAGGGAGGAAAATGTAGCTTCCCTTGTTTTGTAAAGGAAAATGTTTTCCACCATTATGGATGCAATTTTCCATCATTGAGAAAATTATTTTCCACCCCTTCACAAACCAAACAAACGAAAATAGGAAATAATGGGAAAATCATTTTCCATGAAATCAAACCAAACAGGGCCTTGATGTTGCAACCACAGACAAAAATCACTGGCCTAAACACCTTATGAGAAGCTAGTGAGATACTATGGTCCAATTAAAGTGATACAGAGAATGGGGCAAATTGAGTACTGGCTAGAGCTCCCCTTCCATGTTTCTCAACTGAAAGCAGCTGTGGGAAGTTCCTTGGTCACTACTAAGTATACCACCTCAACCTATTAATGAACTGGCAATCGAAAGAGAACCTGAAGCAGTCCTGAGAGTCAGAAATGAAGTGTGCAGTGGAGAGAGCAGTGTGGAAGCTCATTAAATAGAATTATGGTGAATTTGAGGCCACATGGGAGGAGTTCTCAGCACTGTATCAGAGGTTTCTCTTATTCCCTTGAGAACAAGGTGGCTGTTGGGAGGTAATGCAAGAAATTACAGTAAAACCCCCATCTTGTACACTAACTTCATGAAAGGAATGAGGGCAGCTAAGATTTGTGAGCTCTGGGAATTAGTTACTGCAAATAATGGGATGTGGTTATAGAATTCTGTTAGCAAATGGATTAAGCAGCAAGTTGAGTAGGATCATTGTAGTAAGTGGGGAAAGCTAGAGAGAGAAATCATGAGAGGTTCTGAGTGGAAACACATTTTAGGAGGAATCAGCCTCGAAGAGCGACAGTATCAGCTTGTATTAACTAATTCCCCTATTAGTTAATATAGGCAGTTGAGTTTCTCCCTATATTCATCTTAAATTTTCTGCAATTTCTTTTAATTAGCAATTTGATACATAGAAAGCATATAAACTGACCTGATTATTAGCAGTGGGTAACCAAAAGTTTAAAAGAACAATGAATCTCAATACTCTAGATTAATTACCTCGTACACTAACAGTGTATTAGAGTTCTGTGTGAATAATATAAAGTCATGTTCATGAAGAACATAATCAGCATGTTAATTGGAGAATCAAATTGTAAAACAAAAGACATACTATTATACTAGATGTCCTGAAAATGCAAAAGTTTTTGCCAATCGCAGCAAAAGTACTCACCAGAGTGAATGATCCACCAACATTGGAATTCATCATAACCTTCATAAAACTAGGAAAAGGGGAAGTGAAAGATAGGGCATCACTGACTTCTCCAACTGCAGGCTGCATGTTCATACTGTGTGTGGCTTGTAAATCTACCAGGCTATTTTCATTTGCTTGATATGACATAGTTTTCCCAGTATAACATACTAGATGTTTATCTGGAAGCATTGATAAACAAGAGTGAATTTAGAGGAAGACAAAATTCCAATGGATCCATATACTGAACCGCAAGCTATTGACTAAACGTTGATAGATCACACAATGTCAGTACTACAATGTGCAACTACTATACTACTTCAAATTGTAATTAAAATACCTGCTGTAGAATCACAATTTGTACCAATGGAGGATCCGGAAGCACAAGCAGGAACGTGTACTGCAATAAAGTCGTCAACTGTATTAATAGACGCCGCCTCTTGCTGCATGTAAGGCATTGCATCTGTTTTAATTTTATCCATTTTATATTGAGGTGTACATGGTTCATATGTTTGATCTAATTCTTGTAAAGGATGGGCTCCAGTACGGTGTGCTACATTTTCAGCAGCTTCAAGATGTCTCCCACCCAATCCAACACCATCAACAGCAGAACTGTTTCCAATTTGACATTCTAACCCTTCCAAACCCGGCCGTAGAACACGTACACGCATTTCAAAATTACTCACAAGTTCAAACATGCATACATCTTCTATCTTGATACTATTATCACGAACAAAGGCTGGCCAACCACCACAAAAACTATGCAGTGTTGCCTGTCGCCTTACAGCTGGAATAGAATTTACCATCCAGCAGTCTCCATTTAGATTCATGAGGGTGACTTTGACTCGGCATTTTGGGAGATGATCTTTCGAAAAATAAGTAGGAATTTTCTGCAAGAAAGTTAATAAAAGACTCATACACAAAACTATAACCAACAAAAGCTTGGTGCAGAAATGTAGCAAGACTTCTTCAGATATTTTATTATATCTAGCTTGTAAGAATCCTGAAGAAGAGCAAGGGTCAAGCAAAAAGTAACTTCTAAAATACTCTCGTTACTCAAAACGACCACAGGAATATTACTCACTGGCCATGACATGCGTCATAGATAAACACAATAAAGTAGCGAGAAGCTTTAATCTAGCGAATAAACTTACCAGACAGTTAAGACCATTTCAAATACATGTATGAGAATACAATGTGGTCCATGCTCATAAGTTTCCAAGAAATAATCAACTTCAATGTCAGCAACATAAAATCCCATCTACAAATGGACAATATGAAACTGGAAAACTACTCACCATAGTACCATTTCCACTGATATTGGAATAACACATAACTCTGACAAAATATGGTAAATTGGACGTGAAGTAATTAGCAGCTCTTGACTGTATGAACTTTGATATGCTGGGAATTTTCTGGAAGTCGGTCACTGATTCAGATAATAGGATCAGAAGATTCCAGTAAGTAAGGAAAATCAGAAAGGAGGAAATAATCTCAAACATAAAGAAAGGAATTGATATATCACATCAGAAAATTTTCATCCGCAGAAAAGGGAAATTACACTGAAACCAACTGGCATGATTCAGGTATTAAGTAATAAAAAGCTAACAGAGATCCATGGATTTCTAGTTCACAGATGAGATGCCAAATATCATTTAAGATATGAATATTATAAAAGGAGAAAAATCTCCACTTGAGCACCTCTGCTTTCAGCATTCATCCTTCTCTCCTCTGACTATGGTTACCCTAGATTGCTCCAGCCTCCCTCAGCTCTATATTATTCTTTAAATGTTTTGTTAGATTTGTTAGATTGTATTGAGGATGACATAAGTTTCAAGTTTGTATGAATTCTCATGAATTTCAGCAACATGTTCGCTTATATTATTCAATGAACGTTGGATATTGATGTGATTGCATTTATCTTAAGTATAACTAACTGCTTGTCTGCAATAATATGTTTTTCTTTACTAGCAACGTCTCAATCTGATAGTAGACCAAAGTCCCAGTTCCAAACAAATATCACATCAACATAACCTCACAGCCTCTGATGACAATAGGGTAGTATGAAGCTATGCCAGAGTAGCTTTTTATCTACCCTTAAAATAAGAAAGGCAACAACTGTCCGTCACTTCACAAAACAAGGAGCGAGTAAATGGGCCATTCTCATTGAGCCCGTCTCAATCAAACACCAAAGAATAATGAAACTTCGACTCAATTGGACTAAATAATCCAAATGACAAGAAGTCTAGAACTATTCACGAATAATAAAGCTGATAAGCCTCTGTACATAGCTAAATAAAAGCAAAAGTACTTACTTTGATCCTTCTTAGAGACTTTCTTCACTTTTGAAGACATCACTTTTGGAGAAATTTTCTTGACATGAAATTTTACTTGACTTGCCCTACCATCAGGTCCGTTAAGAGAAGGAATAGCTAAGACGACTGTCGTGTCAGATGCCGTTGCTAAGTCTTTTGTCCTATTATCACGCCCATTTGCAGTTTTGTTACTTTTCTGACCTTCCTTGGTACATGTTTTAAAATTTTTCTCTCCATTTCCAACAGGCACCCACCTGACCCTCATTTTCTTTTCAGCAACTAAACTTAACATGGAAGCTTCCATATCCCTTTCTCTTTTCTTTTCCAAGTTTTCATAACATTTAGAAGCTCCTTGACTGCAATCTGCATAAAAGGCTTCGTCTTTCTCACATGAGCTTTCATCAAAAATTTGTACATTGAAATTTGAACTCCCATTGTATCTGAAAACTAGAGTATCACCACACTGTATAGAATGATCTTTCACAAATGTAGGCCATCCATCACGGAAATACAAGTGACCATTCAGCTCAAGCAGATCAACGTACCATACGTTACCACTTGGTCCTATCAATGAGAGAGGTCCAGAAGTTCGGTCCGCAAGGTACTCAACAAATTTAGATGGAACTTTCTGCAAGCAAAACATCAAATGCTATCAACTAAGTGGAATTTAATGCAACATATACACTAAGGGAGGAACCAATACTCTCCTTTAAACAACCAAAGAGGTGAGACATAAGTTATATTACATAGTTATAACTTGACTTGAAAAAACAGATAATTCTGACTTTGGTCTTAAAACTGCATTTTTCCGGTAATCACAACAACAAGCCCACAACCAATGAGGAAATGATGGTAAACTATTTCATGTTACAACTACGCAACTAGTATGTTAATCATGTTTCAACGTAACTGCAGGGAATTTAATGCCAGACATTTATTGTCTAATAAGAAGATTGGGGGCTAGAAGCTAGAGATTAATATTTCAGATTACAATTTCCTTTTTGTCCAAAACAACTACCTTTTCCAGCCAAATCGTGAGCCGTGGATTAATAAATTGTTATTGTTCCAACAATGATCTAAAATTCTAAACACAATATTGCAACTTTTTATTTATTTCCCCAATTCTGAGGCAGGGTGAACATCATAGGAAGGCAAAACCGCAAAAGGCAGTAAATTTTCATAAACACTGTAAATTTACAGAGCAGGCAGAAAAAATTGACTAATGCTCAATGAGATACTGTGTTGTAATTTAGTCACTAACTCATAGGTCTCAGAGTCGCATAAGTGCCTCAAATATCTAGCAGGAACATACTTAAAACAGCTTTAAACATCAATGTTAAATATATCTATTTTCAATATGAACACAAAAGTCAAAAATTCTGAAGTTCCCAACAGGATGCATAATTTTTCTTTCCCCCCTTTTCCCATAAGTTCATTGTTTCACTATCAATGAAAGGCCACTCACACAATGAACTTAAGTGTTGATTTCTCAAAAAAATCAGTATGCAAAATATTCACCCTTTAACTTATACACTAGACAGTAGACAAACACACACAAAACAAAAATTAAAAGAAACAAAATCATCAAAAATAAACACTTATAATCAGGATTAATATTGAAATATTAATGTATACATAAAAAAATAATGATAGCAATAATTATCACTGAGACTTGAGAGTATCAATTTTATAAAAAATAAAAAATTTAAGAAATAAATTACCCATAAAAAATTGGGAAAAAAAAATGCAAACCCTCCTTCCTTACCACAACTAAAAAAATAAAAAAAATCATGAAAAACATTAACTCAAAATCTGAACTTTAAAACAAGAAAGCATGCAAATAAAAAAGAAAAGAGATGAAAAATGTGGTAAAAATTACCAGTCTGTCTGAACTCAAATTAGGAAGGAAAACTTCCAGAAAATGAGGCGTCCTCTTATCCATCATCATCAATTGATTAAACTTTTTATTTCAATAACATTAGCCAAATTTGCTGCAAAAAAACCATGATCACAGTGTTAAAGTAAATAAAAGATTTTTAAAAATTCATGGAATTATTTTCAGGGATTAAAGGATGGCGAATGGTTTTGTGTTCAAAGACTCACCTGAAAATCGCTTTCCAGTAATTCTGCTTCACCCGAGGAGAGGAGAGAGAGAGGGGGGGGGGGGGGAGTATAGAGCCTTTACTGCCTGCGCAGTAATGGAAATCACAGGTGTAATTATGAGTAATTTTTTAAACTATCTCGGTTTTATATTTTTTGCAATTTTGAGTATTATTTGTGAGATATAAAATATTTTAAAGTTGCAAAAAATATAAAATTAAGGTAATACTACTTTCATTTTATGAGTGTTACTAGGCGCTAATGCATATAGGAGGGCATAAAGGTAATCTAATAAGGTTTGGTTTTATATAAAAAACGCTGACTTCCTTTTGACCCTGTTTGATTTTGAATTGGAATGATGCCACAAGTTTGGGGATTTGAATATTGAATGTTATTTTTTATAAAACCTATTTCATTATTTTTAGAGGTTATTGAAATAATATTTTCTCTCTCTTCAACATCTCCTCCTCTCTCTATCTCTCCGAGAACTCATCTCCATTGTTTGAACGAAGGGGTCTAGTCACCGTTGTTTGCTTGCCGGAGGTGTAGAAGTAGCCAAAAGCCTGGTGCAGTGGATTGTTAACCATTAGGTTGCAAAATCAGAACGTGTGCTTACTTCGAGTGATTGAAGGTATGGGCTAAATTTAAATCTTTTGAATGATGATGGTAAAATTATGTTTGTGGTTGTTAATGCAATAGTTCATACGTGTGTAATTGTTCAATTGTCTGATGTGTTAGCTTATGAAAATTAGGGTTTTGTACGAACTCAATTTAGCGATATAAGGTTTATGGTTTATGATTTGGAATTCGAATTGGTTTGAGTGGTGTAAAGAAATTTAGGCTTATTACGAGTTAATGTGTTGTAACTGTGAATGGTAATAGTTATGTGTGTTGCGGTGGTCAATTTATTGATTGTCTGCTGTTAGGTATGTTAAAATCAGTTACTTAGATTGTTGTTGCTTTGTGTGTATGATTATGGAGGAATTGAGAATGTTTAAGGAAAAAAAATTATAAGTGTACTCCTTTACTGTTAATGGTGATACTTCTTGTACGTATTATTTTGTTGGTGTTGATAATGTTTGGCCCCAAAAAGTACGAGTGTACTATTTTAATTATAGTCTTTTATTCTTAATGCTACGATTATGAAGTCGGATAAGTAATTTGTGCTACTGCAATATGAATATGTTCTTTATCTGGATGTAATCTATGTAATGAGTTAAGTGTAGGTTGGAATATGGTTTTGTCTTAGTGGATGTATACCTGGATTTATGTTGGTTAATTGAACTTGGTAGGAATCATTTAAATGATGAAGAGAAAGGGATCTGAATTGGTGAGTTATTTTGTGAAATGAAAACATTGTATGTTTGTTCAGTTCTGGTGTAGTTTAATTAACTAAAAATATACTTGTATGAGTGTAGGCAAGGTCGAAACCCATAATGATTTGGGGGAATAATGGGTCTAAAAAGAAAGTTGTTCATAAAGGGAAAAAGAAAATGAAACCAAACCCTGTATTTGAGGAAGAGGAATTACTAGATTCAGATGATGCTGCTTCAAATGATGATAGTGGTTCTGATGATGGTGGTTCTGCTGAGAGTGGTTCTGGTGATGGTGCTTCTGAGTCAGAGGAGGTTGAGGAGGATGAGTCATACGGTAGCAAGGAAGAACCTGAACCACCAAAACAGGGGTGGGAGGATTTGCTTGTGAAGTTGTTGCAAGACAAAATTGGAAGTGGAAAGCGGAAGGACGGTCCAGCTGATAAGAAAGGAAAAATGAAGCAAAAGGTATGGCATGTTTGTGCATTTAAAGTTTAGATAAATAACTAGATAATGAGTTTATGAAGAAATTAAAGGTGTAATGTTATGAACAGGTCCAGAAGTCGAAGGGAGAAAATGTGAAGGAGAAAGGGGTTGTGGTTAAAACCCAATCACGAAATACACAGAAGGTAATCTATAAATTTATTACTTTGTGGTGTTACAATTGTATGGTTGTGGGTACTTCTTGTTTTAAACTGATTGAATGTTTGGTTATTAAATTGGTTGTTGGAATTGATAAAATATGATGAGTATGTAAACATTATCCTTTCATTTTTTGTGTAAAATTTTGTAACTACAACATACATCATTAAGGTAAAAACCTATGCACAAAATATGAGAATTTGTTCACGATTCATAAATATATGAGAATTTGTTCACGATTCATAAAATATGAGAAATTGTTCACAATTCACATATATATTAGTTGGGAGACTGTTGGAAATTGTTGACTGCAAGAGTGCATAGGTGTGATGTTGCTTATTGTGTTACTGATTAGTGGTAGGATGATTGGTTGTTTCTGGTACTATTTTCTGCTGTTGATGCACTGAGTGGTAGTTATGTTGTGCTGCTCCTGAATGTGGTTTTCTATTTTGGGCTGCTTCTGAATTTGGTTTTCTATTTTGTGGTTTGGTTAAAAATAAAATAGAAAGAATTGCATTTATGCGTAGATTTCGAATGTGTTTGATTTGTTGTGTGGTTGAGTCGGTGTCTTCTTTGTGTGAACTAGTGAAGGCCCCTAATATGAATAGTGTGAAGGCTTTTGGTAGTGCGGTAAAGCTGTTTAATGCTTTTAGGAAGAAGGTGGTCACAGAGATGGGTTTTGGAGGTTTGTTAAGCATGTCGTTTACATTTTTGCCCCATAGATTTGCCTATTAGTTGTTGACAAGGGTCATGGGAGATGGTTCCTTAACTTTTGGAGATGAGTATGTGCTACCCTTGAGTGCTGTTCAGATCGAATGTGTGCTTGGGATTCCAATGGGTTCGAAGGCAGTTCCTTCTAGTATTCCTGAGGATGGTGAGGAGAAGCAGGTGGAGTCGAGGAGAATACAAGGATTGTATGCCAAGGGGGATAGCATTTCATTAGCTAATGCGTTGTCCGCCTTGATTCACAAGGATGCAGAGGGAAATGTCGTGCCTCTGTCATATGCGGAGAAGGGTGATTTCAAGGTAGTTTTTTTTATAGTGGCTTTGGGTTACATATTGTGTGTTACGACAAATAAAAGCAATCTTGCCGTGAAGCTTACACCGGCCTTACTCGTGTATGATGAAACGGAGGAGTATGATTGGTGCAGTTTATTATATATGTGGATGTGTACTGTGGCAAGGAATTTCCAAAAGAAATTTGCTCATAATGGATTTGTTCCAGGATCTGGGGGATGCATCATGTTCGTGTTGGTAAGTAATCTGGGTTATGTAATTTGAGGTTCAAGCGATTAATTTGTTTATTGTTTTCATTTTGAACGGTTGTCTTTCTAATTGAATGGTTGGTTGTTTACCTTTATGAAATGTACAGATATTCTATCTTAATCACCTAAGTCGCGTCCCTATGTCTTGGGGTTTGACACCGCGGCTAAAGGCTTGGTCATAGGAAAAAATCCATGAAGCTGTTGCAGATGACAAGTTTGATTCTGGTGACTATGGATGGCTGTTGGTTAGTATTATGTGAAGTGTTTTGTGATTTGAATTTCTAGAATAATTTTTGTGTATTGCTTAATATTTTGTTGGTTTTTTTGGTAGTCGCTGAATATTGCTTATGGTGAAGAACATCTTCTGGTCCCTTGGGATGTGTCATCGCGAAGCGGTGTCGTCGAACATATTACTGAGCAGGTATATTAAACATGTTTATTATGTTAATTTTGTATGCATGTGGTGGTAGATAATTGTGAAATTGCTTTTCTATTTGATTATATCCTTTATGCATGATTGGTTGATTTTGTGAATTTAATTTTTTTTTTTGGTTCTTTTAAGGTGGTTGAAAAGATTACTCCAAAGCTGATGATTGTTATAGATAGCAAGGTAGAGGACGTTTTTAAAAAATTCATTGTCTTGGTGGGAAGGTGTATTGAAACAACCAATAATGCAAGGAAATCGGTTGTCACCAAGGCCATTGTCAAGCCAATAGAAGGTGGTGAGAATTTGAAGGTCTTTGAGAAGACGCTTGACAAGGTTCACCCTACTACCAAAGATGATGGAGTTGCAGTGGCAGGCAGATAGAATTCTTTGTGTAAGAAGGGTTTGCAAGCTGAAGAACCAGTGGCTGATGGGAGTGAAGGTTCTCAGTCACCGCATGATTCAGTTTCAGGTGAACAGGATCTTAATTGCGTGGTTGCAAAGATTGTGGTTGAACCACAGGTTGTAGAGAACAAGTCTAAGGCTGAGGTTGATTAAGGTGTTGCCTCGGACTTCCAAAGTTGTTCTGATACTAAAGTGGAGGATGAAAACATTATCCCTGGACCGTCAATTGTTGTGGGTTTGGTTGGGAACAGGGAAACTACTGTGTTGGTTAATGTCGGGTGTAGTTTGGCAAACTATTTTTCATCTGATGAGGAACATGAGGCAAGTGGAAAGGAGGAAGGAACTGCGGATAAGAAGGTTGTGAAATCAACAGAAGCAGCCTTGTCACCCACGTTCACTAATGTGTCAAACACCCGAAGGCATACAACGCTCGAGGCACGTTTGGTTTAGTTTGTAAAACATTGAAAGGAGCTCAAGGATCCACTTAGGTAATTCTCTCTGATTTCATTAAGTTGTTGTTCTGCTGTTTGCGATCCCTTGGTAAATTGTCAGCCCTTAAAAATGAAATGCATTTATTTTTGATCATAATATACTGATGATTAGGTAAACTATTTCTCCTATTAATGATGTACCTTAAACATCATCTTTTTCCTAATTTTCATAATAATTGACTCCACTTCTTACCCAGATATATTAAACTCGGAGATTGCACAATATACTTAGCTTTTTGATGGTGATTGGCTACTAATAATAGAAGCTCAGTCACTTTTGTCCATTAAATTTATGTTTTACAACACTTACTTTTTGTTGTACCATTTGCAAGACAATGGTACATAAATTTGCATTTATTATCTCATATGGGAATGTAATGGTATAATTTGGTTGCATGAAGGGCTTCATTGTGATAGGTTAGGGTACCACCTTTAATTCTAGTAGTACCTTTTCTGTTTGTAATGGTAAACTAGAGGCATTGAAGGGGTATAAAAGCTAAAACAAGGTTATGCGTAAAAGTGACCTGTAATGATTTCCTTTGAACCTAATATCCCACTAATATTAGT